ACATACACACACATACACACATACACACATACACACACATACACACATACACACATACACACACATACACACATACACACATACACACACATACACACACACATACACACACACATACACACACATACACACACACATACACACACACATACACACACATACACACACATACATACATTAGTAAAAGTTGTTCCCGCATCCAATCCGGACATTGGGGATTGCCTTGTTAGTGAGATAACTTCCTGGGCCTTCGACATATTGTGGTAGGGTGGCCAGTTCCTTTCAACGCCGCCTTTGCTTCCACAACTCGAAGTCAGATACCCATTACTGCTGGGTGGGCAGTTCCTTTCCACGCCGCCTTTACCTCCCCAACTCGAAGTCAGATACCCATTACTGCTGGGTGGGCAGAAGGAGGTGAAAAAAATCCGTGTCCACACCAAGGCTCGAACACAGACTTTCCGCTTCTGAGATGAGCTCACTAACCGCTCCGCCACCGCACCCTCTACATACATTAGTACCTCATTATAAATACATGTACATGCATACATGATAAATACATACACCTATACATACATAAATACACAATAGTACACTAATGCTGAACAATTTCACAACCATGCCACTGCTGGTCTCCATTTTGCAGCTCCCTGTTTTTAGAGCTAAAGTTGTCCTGTCTTGCTCAAGGACACACCCCAGTGACCACCCTTCTGATCCCCGTGTCACCGACACTTGCTTGACTTTACTCTAAGTCAAAGCTCACATTCCGAATTGTTCAAGACAGTGTCTATGGTCGACGAGAAAAGTTGGTGTTTTAGACCCAGTGATCTCTCACATGCTCAAACTCGTGAAAAACTTGAGGCGAGTTCACCGTGGATATCCAGGCAAACCTACACATAATAATAATAATGGACTGCATTTATATAGCGCATATCCACTTATGCAAGACTCTATGCGTTTAACATGATACATATTATGGATTTACAAATCAATTTTAATGGCACATAGTGTTACATACGCGTGCACACACATATTCACGCACGCACGCACCACACACACATATACACATACATACACACATACGTACATACGCACATACGCACATACAAACTCACAACGATCTACAGCTTGGGTGGATTCTGTCTAATCGAAATATGATGAAAATAGAAATACTTTTAGTTTTTTCTTTAAAATGTCTAGAAAAATCTAGATTTTCTGCCTCTCTGATAGTTTTTGGAAGCCTATTCCAAACAAGTGGGGCAAAATATGAAAAAGAGCGTCGGCCATATGATTTGTAATTTATTTTAGGTTTAACAAGGGTTGTTTTGTCACTTGATAACCTGAGCGTTCAAGGAGGTACATAGGGTGTTAAAAACTGTTTTAGCTAGTCAGGTGATAAATCATGTAAGCACTTGTAGCAAGTTAAACAGATTATATATATGATACGCTCTTTCACCGGGAGCCAGTGTAGTTTTTTAAAATAGGAGTCACAGGATCATGCTTTAGTTTCTAAGTAATTATTTTGGAGGCAATATTTTGTACTCTTTGTAGTTGACACATGTCAACCTTTATTTAATAATTATTATTTTTAAAATACAAAACCAGAGTTTATTCAATCAAATTCTACACATGTCAACCTTTCTGTTTCAACATAATTTTAAAGAGAAAACGGACCACAATTGTTTGAGTGTAATAATACATAAAACCTGTTTACCTTTTGCATGTCCGTACTGTATGCAATAAAACAAATCTAAAATGGTACAAGATGGCTGGTGGCTTTCCGCGGGGGAGATGGTGTGAAAAGTTCACTGTTACCGTTATTTGGATACTTTACGCGGGGGAGATGGTGTGAAGAGTTCACTGTTACCGTTATTTGGATACTTTTTTATTCGGTGAACTCGCCACACGTTTTTCAGCTGTGACGAGTTCACTGGTTCCCATTTAAACAGATTGACGTATTGGACAATGCCATTTTGATCATTATACAACACAAGGGGAACTGGGTGGGAGATAGTCGTTTGTACAGGTGATTGTCTTAGGCAGGTGGCACGTATGAGCAGGTTCGACTGTCTATTGATTAATCAGAAAATGTGTATGTTCAGTTATGGTAAAAATCAACAAATATTTTTATTTTAAAACCTGGGTCTACATTTTTTATAAGCAACATGACATTGACTAGATTCTAGCCAAGCCTAACTGTTATCATTTAAAGTACTCGTAGCTGGGAAGCAGACTTTGAGCTGTTGAAGCTAGAGAGGTGAGCAGAGTAAGTCTGATTCCCTGTAAGGACTTCTCTGTTGACATTCACCCCGTGGCGTTCATATCACCTAATGCAGTTGCGAGCGCCGTAAAACCTCTACTAGCGCTCATATGACCTAATGCAGTTGCGAGCGCCGTAACACCTCTACTAAAACAAACAAAAGTAGCTGGAACAGTCTTATTTGTTGTCTTTCAAATCTCCTTAGCAAGTTGTTAATCGATCTTTACACTCATAGTGTTAGACACAGACATATTTTTGTTAGTGTTCTTTGCCAGCTTGGGAACAATTTTGATAATTTAGGAAGCAGGTATCTACCCTGTCTGTCAGGGCCTAGGTCAGGGCCAATCCGGGCTGAGAGGGATTCGTGGGTGATTGGTGGGTGCTTGCTTTTTCTGACCTATCAAACATCTATCGTCTTTATCTCCCCGCCTTCTTTTTAGTGTTTGTTACTCTTTTGTAACACCTCACGAGTTCGGCACTTATATGACATTTATGAATTGTGTTGCAATTAAAGTAAAACTCTTACTAAAACAAAAAGAGAGATACAAGGTCTCAGAAAAAAAGACCGTGGTTCCTGATTTATTATTTTTATAAATGTCGGTTTGTTCGATTTCACCGCGATGCCTCCCATAATTTATTGTCCAACTGTTAGAAAAATATCCGAGCTCATAGGGTAGCATGACCCCTGTGGGTTGGGGAAAAACGGGGGGTTACACTGACACGTTGGGGTAAGCAATTTATTTAACACAGGTATAATGTACACACACACACACACACACACACACACACACACACAC